CTTTATCCACTGAGCCAAACTGGCTAGGGCAAAGTCCGTTTCTAAACACAAAGAGTGCACTCAGAGCCTTGCAGACACCTATTGTCATTCTGTACAGCCCCTGCAACTTTCCGCAGCGCCGCCTGGAAGTTCCCCAGTGAAGGCCGCTCATTCACTGCTCCCCAGTCATTCCGAGCATGCCAGGTTGACAGGTGAGCCTGGGAGATTGAGTTAGCTAGGCCGCTCAAATGCTGCTATAAAGAAGCTATGAGAAGGCCATTTCTATGGGGTAAATCCCATTAAACTCAAATGTATCCTAAACTAGTAAGTGCTATTTGATTGTTAGGAGCATGAGTGGGTTGATTGAAATAAAGTCTGTCCCTTAAAGCTTTTCACTGAATTTATTGGAAGGGACTTTGGGGAGTAATTTAAGGAGTTCCTGAAGGGAAAGCGGGGGTTGGGGGGGCAGGAGGGGAGGAGGTGCTCTGAAGGAGAGTATTTGACGCCCTGAGTGGACACCTTTGACCCATTATAATGGCTGTGCGGGCACACCTTTCAGTACCTTATCTGTTTGGGCTTCTGTAGCATCCTGACAGAAGAACAATATTTTTTCAAAGAAGTGCTAAGACAAAGGAAAAGGAGTTTGAGCTTCTATGGGCATCAGATTGTAGGAAGGGCCACTTCTTTTCAATTGCCTTCAGCTCAAAATAATTCTTATGCCAGAGTGGCATATTTTGGGGTGACATACTCTGAACCCTTCATTTGTCTCCATAACATTGTTTGATACTTTTGCTATTGAAGCATGCATGCTCTTATGTGACTCTCTTATCTGTCAGTTGCTTATTTCTCCCTATATTTTGCTTTGGAAATATTTGTACATCGATATGTCAAGAGCTGGCTCATTCATTTAAACCATTTTGTAGTATTTCATCGGATATGCCACACCTTATTAATCCTTAGTTTTTATGTGTCTCTTTAATCAAGAGAGGCCTGTGGTTTCTCCTTGGAGCAGAGCTGCCAAGGGGCCACTGCAGCAGGCCGGGCTCTAGCAGAGCTGTGCCTGTTGCCGCTGGGACTAGTATTAAATAATGAAGAAGGTTCTAAGATCAAAGACCTAGCCGCTCTGATGTGGAGGAGGAATGATGTACGGGTGTCTCAATAATTAACTGTCATGCCAAGTCCAGTTTGGGCAAAAAACCTAAGGCTAAGGCTGTTTCTAAAGAAATGCTTTCTTACGATACATAAAATTCACCAGGTTTACACGCTGTGTAAAGAGTGTGTGTGTGTCTGTCTAATACTAGGTTCTTTTTCCTTAAACCCCAGGTCTAAGCCCTGAGTGAGCTTTGCTTTCCCACAGGCTTATCCAGGCTCTCTTCATTTCTGTTTCCGCCTTCACTGCCCTTCTCTGTTGTTTCATTGAGGGGACTGTAAACCCAATTGCTTTTGTAAATAAAGTTTTATTGGAACATGCCATGCCCATGATTTTGTATATTAGCTGTGCCTGACCTATGATACAAAGGCAGAGCTGAATAGTTGCAACTCAGACTATCTGGTCTCAAACAGTTGGGCTGTTTGTAGGACACGGTTGCTGACTCTGTAACTGGTTTCATCGTCTCCACCGCAGACAGGGCGACTCTTCCAAAATGTGGACTCATCTCACCCACCCTGCTTACAGCGGAGGCACAAAGTCTAAGCTCACCAGCCGTTTACTGGCACCGCACGTCTGCTTCCTGCTCACCTTCCCATTCTCCTCTCTCATGTTGTCCCCGGTTTCTGCTCGACTAACCCTTTCCTCCCGAGTTTCTTCACATGCCCCTCCCTTCTGTCTTCAGGGCTCCGCACAGAGGTAGCCTCCTGGAGGTCGGGAGGTCACCGTTCAGTCTGCACTGGCCTCCGTAATTCATCACATATTTCCTTCATAGCACCTCCCGCTCTAATCACATTCTTCAGTGGTGTGTTCAGGTCGTTCTTCCCTGCCTCCCCTCCTGGGACACAGGCCTCTAACAGCAGCTCGTCTGTGCTGACCTGTGGAGAGGGATGCCCATCAGCAAGTGGCTGCCGCGTCGTAAATACCCAGGGGAAAATCGTTCAACAAATGAACAAGGTACAGGTTCTGCCAGTGGCCTTGGTAGGGTTTAAATGCAAGTTTGTGTTCATGCCGCGTTAGTTTGTTTTCCTGCCATCCTGTATAATAAAAGGCTAATATGAAAATTGACCAAATGGTGGAATGACCGGTTGCTATGACGCACACTGACCACCATCAGTTCAATGCAGGTGCTGCCCACTGGTGGTCAGGGCGCTCCCACAGGGGGAGCACTGCTCAGCCAGAAGCTGGGCTCACGGCTGGCGAGCGCAGCGGTGGTGGCGGGAGCCTCTCCCATTTCTGCAGCAGCGCTAAGGATGTCTGACTCCCTCGAGGCTCCCGGACTGCAAGAGGGCGCAGGTCGGGCTGAGGGACCCCCCCCCCGAGGGCATGAATTTCGTGCACTGGGCCTCTAGTGTATCAATAAGTCTGTCCACTCTGCTCACAGTATAAGATGAGGGTGGCTTTCCCTGTGACATGCTTGGACTGGCACGCTGTCCACCAGGGGACAGCCAGACATTTTAACGTGATGCTGCTTTGTATGTTCAGTGCCTTTTATGCATTTACTAGAGCTCAGTGCATGAAATTTGTGCACTCAGACGGGGGGGGGGTCTCCTCAGCCCGGCCTGTGCCCTCTCACAGTCCAAGAGCCCTTAGCGGATGTCTGACTGCTGGCTTAGGCCCGCTCCCCATGGGAAGTGGGTCTAAGCTGGCAGTCAGACATCCTTAGTGCTGCTGGGGAGGCAGGAGAGGCTCCCACCACCGCCACTGCGCTCGCCAGCTATGACCCCACCGATACACGATTGGGACTAGGGAAGGATGTGGGAGGTTGGCCAGCCAGGGAGGGACCGCAGGAGGGCTCCAGGACATGTCCAGCCCATCTCACTCAGTCTCGATCGGCCGGACCCCAGCAGCAAGCTAACCTACTGGTCGGAGCATCTGCTCCCTGGTGGTCAGTGCACGTCATAGCGAGCAGTTGAGTGGCCTTAGCATATCATTAGCATATTACACTTTGATTGGTTGAATGGCCAACTGGACGACTGGACACTTAGCATATTGGGCTTTTATTATATAGGATTTCTGCTGTTGTGTTAATATGCTAATGTTTATCAAGGTTGTATTTTTCCCCTCCCTTTCTTTCTTGCTGTTGGTGAAGTCTGGACTCTCCTTGGGGCATTTGTCGTGACTACAAAGAGTTTTAGCTCTCTTAGCTCCTTGAAAAATGGGCTGCTTTTCTGCTGAACCGGGATAAAAAGAACCAGGCAGTATCTGTGAGGATCTTAATTCTTTTGACGTGGAGAAGCCCATCAGGAATCTCTCTCTCATTCACAACTTCCCATGTTCCCCTGACCCTCTTTCAGTGCAGCTCTGCACCTTCCTGAGGAGGAGTCCCTACACCGCCTCCTGCCGCTCCTCCTGCCCCAATTATTTCATTGCTCAGTGACCCGGAGACCTTGCATACTGTCCCATCGGAGAGCATAGAATGGAGTCAGACACACCTCAGTTTGAAATGTGGCTCTACCTCTGACCAACTCTGTGACTCTCAGCAGGCACTAAACTTCTCTGAGACTTAATTTGCTCATCTGTAAAATGGGCCTCATCCAGTTTCTTCCTTGCAGGGCTGTGGTGAGAATTAAATGAGGCGATGCTTATCAAGTGTAGAGTACAGTTTCTGTAACCATGGCACTCATATGTGTTTGCAAGTATTCAGTTTGGTTAAAAATAGAAGACTTTGCGAAGGTACCTGTGGGGAAGGGGAAAATTCACCTTTCCCTCCTCTGGTTCTTTTTGGCTAGCCAGATAAGCAAATCAACAGGAGGCAGATGGACAAGAGAAAATCAGATTTAATCTCATGCCCATGGGACCCCTATATGCAGGGAAGGTTGAGAGATAGAAAGGGGGGTCGAGGTATATAAGATATTCTGAGCTGGGGATGAGGTGAGGGGTTTTGGGGCCTCCGAAGGTCGCTGTAGGATGATAAGAAGAGCAGGCAGGCATTCAGTAATTAGTACTTCCCCTGCGCTTTAGCCAGGTGAAGAGAAGTTATCTCTGATCATCTGTTATGAGCAAGGCCGCTAGTTCCTCTTCTAGGTAGTGTAGGGGGTTGGCGAGGGTGGCAGAAGTTCCTCGAGCCTGAAGCTAAAATGGCCTTTAGCTGAAATAATCTACAGAGCACTAGTTCCAGACCCGCACATCCCCAAGAGGAAGTAATTCTAAAATAGGAAACGGCTACGATCCAATTCCAGGATAGTCTGAAAACTAAACTTTCAGTTCTTTCCTGGTAGGACAGGTTATCTTTTTAGCAGATGCTGCCCCGCTTCCTGCCCGGTCTTAGACAGAGGCTATCAGAGATGCCTTCCAAGTGGAGCAGAATGGCGTCCGGCTCCTAGTCTGATTTCTTGTAAAGAAGAGTTCCAGTCTTGCTTCTCTTGATCAGGAAACTTTAAAGCACTTTTCTAGTCATCTACTCTAACTTCCACATCGCATCCACACTCCTTTTTCAGGGACCATGCCATCTTTGTCAGTGTTCCCAATTTGTTAGTCACTTTGTTTCTGATGTCACTAGCTAGGGAATATTAACAATAGGAAAGAAGCAGAGCGGAAGCCAGGCATTGTAAACATGGTCATCGGGGCAGCTTTCCCAGGAAGCTGCAGTTTCACACTCCCCAGGGAACCACCTGTCCATTCCCTGCAGATCCTGGGGGAAGGGAAATGGACACATGGGCAGTGAAGTCCCGGTGAGGTAGGGAAGGTGCTTGCCTGTCCGTCTAACCTAGGAACAAAGATCATTGGTCAGGAGGGTGTACCCCGGTGCAAACCCATGAAAATTTGGGATAATATCCAGACAAAGAGTTCTCTCTGCTGCTTGCACTCCTGTTTCTTGTTTGCTCCGTGACCTGTCCAGCCTGTCATGTGGCTCCCACGCGATAGACTAGCTGGGAACACACGCTCAGTTAGCTGAACTGGCCTGTGATTTAATATGGACACTGGCTTTCATCCCAGCTCTGCTGAGGACAAAATGGGACCTTGGGAACCAGGGGTTTAATTCCAAGAAATAAATCTTTCCACCATCCTCATCCTCCCGGAGGCCCTCAGGAAGTTCTTATTCCAGCGGCACCCCAGAAGCTACTTCCACGGACAGAGAACACCCCCACTGGTAACAACTTTATTTTCTCTTCTTTTAAATGGAAAGTGGGTACTTTTAGATCAGGAATGGCAGTATATTTTTTGTCTGGTGCTGGTTCCAAGTCCTTTTTATTGACATAGGATTCACAGACTGACCCAGAAAAATCAATCAATTAATCAGTTGGCATAATAGAAAGGTCATGGGTTTTTAAGGCAGACCTGGATTTAAAACTCTTACTTAACCAGCTGAGTGGCCGTAGATGAATTACTTAACCTCTCTTACCTTCTAATTTTCTCATCAGTGAGATGAAATTTCAGGGCTCAAATGTGATGTAAAGTAAATTTACTTGGCACATATAGCACATTTTAACTTGCTTACCAAATGAGATTTGTCTGGCCCTTCCTATTATCAACTAGAGGCCCAGTGCATGAAATTTATGCACTCGGTGGGGGGGGGAGGAAGCCCTCAGCCCGGCCTGAACCCTCTGGCAGACCTGGAGCTGGCAGTCGGACATCCTTAGCACTGCTGCGGAGGAGGCGGGAGAGGCTCCCACCACCGCTGCTGCACTCACCAGCCGTGAGCCCGGCTTCTGCCTGAGCGGCGCTCCCCTGTGGGAGCGCACTGACCACAAGGGAGCAGCTCCTGCATTGAGCGTCTGCTCTCTGGTGGTCAGTGTGCATCATAGTGACCGGTCATTCCGCTGTTTGGTTGATTTGCCTGGAGGTCCTGACTTCTGCAGTGGAGACACTGGTCCAGGGTTTTAACAGGTAGCTCTCTTTCTAGGAGTTGAAATAAATGGCTTCTGCCATTCTAGTGTCTTAGGACAGCACTGCTCACACCCACCTTCCTCTCTCCCAGAATCTGAAGCATTCACACTTTTCCTTACACACATGGGCCAGTGTTTCATGAATTCTGTTCTGTAGACAGGAACATGATCTTACTCATCTCAGCCTGTCTATCACCAGGGCCCCTGGGTTGTGGGGCCAGAATCCGAATGCAGGGACCGGCAGTATTACACAGTGATCAATACTGTCGACTAGAGGAGTGTTGTGTCTGACATCCTCCTGTGATCTTGGGCCAGTGACTTAACCTTCCACCTGGGTTTCCTAATTTATAAGATGGTTTTACAGTTAGTACAGGCGAGGTTCTATAGACGAGGTTCTGTGACAGTAACAAATAATCCCCAGAATCGCAGTGGCTGAAGGTCCATGAAGGTGTATTTTTTTATCCCCTGGGGTGTGTGGTCCTCACTCCGGCCCCTGGCTGGGACAGCAGCGCCATCCTGAATGTCGTCATTCCTCAGGTCAAGAGAGAGAGAGAGCTTCGTGGGCGGGAGGGATGATAATTCAGTGTTGGCCCAGACCTGTCACACAACAGGTGTGCTCATGACTTATCAGCCAGTGCGAGTTGCAGGCCTTATCTAACTTCAGCCACAGCAAGGATGCACCTGGAAGAGGGAAGCTTAGGGGTAGTTGTTGGTTTGCATTAATGACAGCTATTGAGAAAGATAATAATATTTGACTTTTCATGATTGTTTTGATTGTTAGATACAGAGTTTAGTATGATGCGTAATGCATGGTAATTGCTCAATCAACAGTAGAAGGAACTGTTAACATGATTGAAGATCAGAATTCAGCATTTGATTACATTTCCAGCATACTTTACACCATCCATTTGCTTAGCATGTGTCTCCTCTTCTTTTTCCTTCTTGAAAATACAAAAGTAGATTTAAGTTGTTCCTCCTTAGATATATATCAGAAATTCTTACTGAACGAAGTTGAGTTAATGAAGTTTTAGACCCAGTCAGCGACCCTGTTCTTCCAAGTTTAGGGTTGAAAAACACAGGTGATATTGATCACATTGTGGATGATAGCTCAGAGTTAGCAGTGGCTTTAGAACTATGTTCACTGTGCTAGTTTTCAATTTAAGAGCAACTGAATTGCAGCAGGCTTTCATTGGAGTCAGTGCAAAAGCAGTCGATGTGTTTATATGTCTATGAAGCTGGTCCCTGGATCAATTGCAATTAGTTTGCAGCAGATTGCATTAAAATATCTAAAATTAATACAGTGAGTGTTCTGATGAAAAGGCATCGACTGTGACCACACTGTGGCTGTTTTTAGTCTCTCTCAAATGTTCTTTTCAAACCGTATTTTTCTTCATCTTCTGCTAACTGCTCTAAATGCGTCTGTCAACATAGACTTAATCTATTGATCCTTCCCCACTTGCCTTTTTAAAGTGGTCCCAGAATAGAGCATATATCCTATATAATTAAAGGCCAGCGACCGAAACGGTGGAACGACCAGAACGACCAGAGACCAGAACACCATGGCCCCTGGCCCAGGCTGGCCCCATCCCCCAGGGAGCAGTTAGGGGCGCCCCTAGGCAACGCGATAGGGTGCGAGTTTGATGGGGGAAAGTCGAAGAAATAGGGGAGAAGGTCTTAAGGGTCTGTGGGGTTGGGGTGGTCGGCCTCGAGTAGGTTTGGAGTGTGCTGGGGAAGGAAGAGGAAGATCCGATTGGAAAATGGCTCAGCACAGTACCTTTCTTATTGCGAACCAGGAGGCGCCAGCTGGGGACTGAATGGGCGGTTGTTTCACAAGTGCGCTTAGGACCGACATGTTCATGGCAGCGGCTGTGCTCCCGAAGCTTCACTGATTCCAAATAGTAAATAGCTATCAACGTCAAAGAACAGAAAAATCCTCTCCAACTAGAGGCCCTGGACTTGCAACGCTACTGAAGGAAACACCATTTAAGGAGGAGCTAGAGAAACCGAAAGTATGCGACCAGAGGATTGTGGGATTGTGGAGGACGCCTGGGCGCCTACCGCTAGAATGTGAACCTGTTATTGCGCATGTACATAGTCAACCCTATAGTCCTCAGTCTCACAGTATTTAGACATGACTTCTGGCGGGAAATTATTTTGATTGAGGTTTGCTGTTCCCTTGCGTGAGGAAGATCAGAATTAAAGGTTTTGTTTGTTTCCTTGGTTTGAAGCGGAGGAAAATGGGATAGTGATGAATAAGAAACTTTGGAGATAGTGAAGGGCAGTTTGTCCAGACTGTTGAGAGCTCAGAATTAGAGTCTAATTGGGATAGAAATCCTGCTAATAACACCTGATGCCTGAAATCTGAGCACTCTACTTTTGGGTTTTCCAGTTCAAGTGTTTGGAAACTGCCTGTTAAAACATTCCTGGTTGGAAAGTGCAGAACACCATGGCTCCTCACCCAGGCTAGCCCTGCCTCCCAGGGAGCAGTTAGGGGTGATCAGGCAGGCAGGCAGAGTGGTTAGGGGTGATCAGGCAGATAGGCAGAGGTGGTTAGGGGCGATCAGGCAGGTAGGCTAGTGGTTAGGAGCCAGTGGTCCCTTATTGCGAGAGGGATGTCTGACTGCCCGTTTAGGCCTGATCTGCAGTGGGATCGGGCCTAAACCGGCAGTCAGACATCTCCTGGAAGGTCCCTGATTGTGAGAGGATGCAGGCCAGGCTGAGCGACCCCCCCCCACCCCGTGCATGAATTTCGTGCACCGGGCCTCTAGTCTAATATATAATCTTCTCTTTCTTTAGGGAGCTTTTACTAAACGCCTTAAATTCGAGTTTTTCTTAGTATGTAATGTGATGTGCTAGTATATAGTGTGATGTGCTATTAACACATTGCGTACCGCTCAGGAGTTTTCTCGTGTTTCGCGCACCATCTGTTAAGGACTGCTCACTAGTGTTCTCGTTTTTCACATGCTATCTGTTATGGACCTTAGATGTCAACACACTGTATTGTCCACTGTGGGGTGCAGTTACGATGTTTTGGCCAGGTTCAAGCCTTGGACTAATGAAAGGACAGGGTCCTCTCACTGCCACGTGCAAGTTGCAGCTGGAGGGCAGGGCCCTCCCAGCACAATCATAGCCAACGGCTGTGGTTGTAAGCTTGAACCTATGGTCCGAACACGTAGCCCCACGTGCCTTGTGATAGAGTTTAGGTGCATGTAGTTGAGTAGGGTTGAGACTCACGAGAATGCTGTAAACAATGTGATCACGCCCCTACTTTGCCTCGTGGCATCTGCTATAAAATAAAGACACGGCTTGTCGGCGCCGGCATTGTCTCCTCTTCAGGGAGCAGCGTCCCACCGAGACCCAGCTATTATTCTCTTGTCTGTCTTTCCTTAATCCTTTCACCCCCCGACTCAGAGACACCCTTGGCTGTGCTGGCGCGGCACAGTCCACATCGAATGAAGCGATCTCATTGGTGGAAACCGTGCAGGTCAATCTACGAAAAACTATATAATTGCACGAACCCATAAAGCATTGCAGTTACACTGTATTTTGGTCATTCGAGTAGTCTTCATCTTCAAGTTCCTGGCGCTTTTAGAAATGCCCTCTCTCAGAAAAAGGAAGGAAACCAAGGAAACTGATACACTTCCAGAAGTATTTAACGATAATTTATCAGATATTCCTAGTGAGATCGAAGATGCGGATGACTGTTTTGATGATTCCGGAGACGATTCTACTGATTCTACTGACAGTGAAATTATTAGACCTGTAAGGAAGCGCAAGGTTGACGGTGCTTTCAAGTCATTCCGACACTGACGAAGCTACTGATAATTGTTGGTCTGAAATTGACACACCACCACGCTTACAAATGTTTGAAGGTCATGCTGGGGTCACTACATTTCCGTCTCAGTGTGACTCTGTACCCTCTGTGACCAATCTCTTTTTTGGTGATGAATTGTTTGAGATGTTGTGCAAAGAGCTGTCCA